ATGTCTTTATACTTTGCAAGCTCTTGTTTGAATTCCGCCCGTAGTTCTTCCTTAAGCTTTAACAGTTCCTTTGCCATAGTTCAACAACAACAGTGTGCGCTTACGCGTCCGTTACAAAAAAAGAAAGTCACAAATTTCACAAGCTTGGCAGCGACGACGAGAAAAAAAAAGAGAAAAAAAAGCTACACTGTTCAACCACTAACCTGCAGCGAAAAGGCAGCAAGAATTAGGCGATATCGAAGCGTGTTCGTCGCCACTGCCAAGTGAAAGCCGTCCGCAGCCGACGTAGCCTTTCATGGACGTCTCCGCTGTCCCGTGATGCTGCAGTGCCGCCGGAAACGGCCGACGGTAGCACCTTCTGCTCGCAGTTTGCTTGGGCCAGCTGATCACGTATGCACGTCCGATGATCTGCGCCAATTCTAGTGCGGAGTGCAGCTGTGCAGAAGCAGCGATCTGCCGCGAAAAGGCAGCAAGGATTAGGCGATATCGAAGCGTGTTCGTCGCTACTGCCAAGTAAAAATACTATGGATCACAACAAGCCTCTTGAAGGCACTATGAATGAGTGAAAAAAAATAATAAAGTGTCCTAAAAAAGATGGCAAAGGATTGATCAATACACACAATAGTTCTTGATACAGTAAAAGCTCGCTAATTTTAACTAGAATGTGACTATAATTTCGTGCATTTGGAGCGCAGTTCGAATTGACAGCAAGACGCTAAACTGATCAGACATCTCATCACACTGTGCCAAAAGGTGCAGAGAAGCGACATTTTGAATCGTTTCCGGAAATTAGGCGACACTACACGTCTGTCCCAGGAAATTTCGTAATTTCGGTTGATGCTCTAACAACGAAGATAATTTACGTATCCGTCAGTAATACTCAAGAAAGAAGCAGCTTTACTTGCATTCACGTGAGCATTGTGCCTTTTTGCCAAAATATACAAAGTGGTACGTGCTCCATAACACGTTGCTTTGCATGACAAACCTAGCGCAATCAAAATTTAAATTATTTTTTCCTTAAATTTTTGGAACAGTACTCATGTCGTCAAAAGCGATACGGCAAAAGGTAAGCATTCCTTAACTAAGCTATGCCACTCTCAAGAAGTAGCAGCATACAGATGACATTTACCACTAAACATTGATACATAAAAATCAATCACTACACTTATTTCACGCAGATTAAAATGAAGAAGAGCAGTGAAAGATGAAGGACAAGAAAGCTATTCATAACGAAGGAACACTTGAAACTTATACGATTAAAGGAATTCAAATGTCTACGAAACCAATCAAACTTAGACCTACGGCACGTCAAAGGTGCTTATTACAAGCAACTTTTTCTGTCTTTCTCACTGCAATGGCCTGATAATACACTAGAGAATAATGAATGATGTTCTTGGTTGTCAGAACGAACAAGAGTTCTGAGCAGTATACTTCGTTACGGTGTGTAATGAATAGACGAAAATATCAATAATCACTTTCACAATAATTTCAATAACGGTGCCATTCCTGCTGTCTACCTCACCTGCACTGCAACGTCGGCAAAAACAAACCCAATCCCGTTGCTAATAGCATTTTTTCTGCCTGCTGATAAAAGTGAAATCGACGCTGCACTTTAGTCTTTGAAAGTTACTAAAGTGTCATACATCAACAACCTGCAACTAGGTCTCATCTAACGTTGTACAGTTACTATTTCTCCTGCTCTTGCTAATACATTTATCTTAACACTTGAGTCGAACGTATTTTCCCTTGCAATGAAATACGCCGGAGTTTCTGCAATATTGGAAGCAGGTAGCCCTAATGACCTTTACAACTACCGGCTAATTTCCGTCGTACCTCTGTTTTCGATGGCTTGATAAAGCATTACTCAGTCGTATGGTCGATTTCTTGGATAAATATTTGGCCCTGTATAAGCAAGGTAATCTGCAAATGTCGTCGAAATACGATAGTCTTGCGTGTGGAGAGAGTGAATAAAACATTTATTTTATGTTCTGCACAAGAAAATCGATGAATGGTATTCTGGAGGCGCTGCGTTAGAGTGCCTCGAGCGTGCAGCGGAGGCGAACAAGCGCATCAAGTCACGTCACACGTTAGACGTGAGCGCCATCTGGCAGTTTTCTTGGAAATTGATGTGCGTGGCTCGGAGACGGGTGTGCGTGCCCATCTAAGAGGTGATAAGGTGCAGACGCAGGGCGACGGGTAGGTGCCACTATCGTCTCGCATTAGCAAAGCGTTAGAAACACTCCCTGTTCTATGCAAGCGTTGCATGGTCAGCGCAGCGTGATAAGCGCTACGGTCCTAACTATTACTTATGTATGTCTTTTCTAGTAAAAGACGCACATGCAGAATATATACATGTTGTTATGGTGCCCCAGACATGCGCAATATTTGTTTTTAATTGACAATTGCACAAGTATGAACTCTGAATCTTGGGCAACATTGGTGGGCGCTGTGGATAGGGTCGGCCGTTTCAAGTATCCGGTACCGTTAAGAGTGGACAAATGGTGAAATGTATAGACAGACAGACAAACCAAAATTTTTGCGCCTAAGGTCCCCAAGAAAGATTGTCGGCTTTAAAAACTTCCAGGCATGCACAGGACGCGCACCACTGTCTCAGCAAAAGCTGGGAAAGCGCATTTGGGGGCCTCTTTTACATTATTTAGGTAGCTGTGGCAGGTAAATTTCAGGGTACACACTACGCCATGAATCATTGTGTAGTAGGCAGCCATTCACTCTACCACCCTTCGTCATTCTTTCGGAGAAGCTTCGTACCCGCTACAAACTTGCAAACATTCTTGTACTATTTTTTTGCACTGTGGCTGACGACGATGAAGAATTAAGTCAAAAGGGTTTGTAATGCAGGGCATATTACCAAACAGTGGGTGTGCGTCACAATTATTAGGTGAACAAGATCAAGCTTTTGAATAGCAAAGCCGCTGAGCTTGCTGCCATTCAGAGCGCAGCATGGTCAAATGAAAGCCTGCACGTTCACTTTACACGCCGCACACACCGCACGAAGTTTGCGATTGGAACTTGGTGTCAAAATTGTAACAAGGTACATGCCCCCGAGCGGTGCCCGGCGTATGTAAAAACTTGTTATACATGCAAAAATCGAAATCGCTTCGCCGCATGCTGCAACAATGCGCGCAAGATAAGCGAGGTTCACAAAGCCGAAGAAAGCGATGAAAATTTTGACATCTTGGGCATCAGCATTTGCGGCGTCACCGCAGACATAGGAGCGGATTGGATGGTTCGCGGAAAAATAGCCGGTCAGGAGATACAATTCAAGGTAGATACCGGGTCTCAGGCGAATTGGCTGCCCCTAACCCTGTTCAACCGAATCGCCCACGCAAGCACTCCGCGAAAGAGTGCCGCTGTCCTTGCCGCATACAACGGCAGTGCATTCAAACACGTTGGCGTGGCGACCGAAGACCTCGAGATAAGCGAAGCCCAGCATTCAGTCTCGTTCTTTATCGTGAAAAAGGGGCGCCAAGCCATCCTTGGCTTAAAGACATGCCAGAAGTTTGGTCTGGTACCGGTGACGACAGACGCCGTGAATGTAGGCGATGAGCAAAAGAAATTCCAGCTTGCATTTCCTGACCTCTTCAGCGGCACCGGCTGCGTCAAGCGACCCTACAAAATGGTGCTACGTAAGGATGCCGTTCCATGCGTGCAGCCTGTCCTCAGAGTACCCATAGCGTTGAAAGGACGCCTGCGACAAGAACTGCAACGAATGGAAAAGGCCTCAATCATCGTCAAGGTGGATGAACCAACTGACTGCGTGAGCCCCCTGGTAGTTGTGCACAAGAAGGATGGTACCCTTCGCATTTGCATGGAGCCTAGAGCAGTGAACAGGAGCACTAAGCGGGAGCCCTACCCTATGCCTTCACGAGAGGACATAGAGAGCGAGCTGGCAGGAGCACAATACTTCTCCCGGCTCGATGCTAATGCCGGCTTTCATCAGATTCCTTTAGATGAGGACACTTCACGAATATGCACTTTTGCGACATTATTTGGGCGGTACCGTTTTTTGCGTCTGCCTTTCGGAATTTCCTCAGCCAGCGAGGTGTTCCAGAAGACTCTAACAGAGATGTTCGAAGGGCTGCCAGGAGTGCGCGTCTACGTAGACGACGTTTTAATATGGGGCGACTCAAAGAAAGAACTTGACGAACGCGTCATTGCAGTGCTAAGGCGGGCGTAAGAGGAAGGGTTGACATTTAATCCAGATGAATGCGTGTTCTGCACCACGCAGGTTGCATTCCTTGGCGATGTTATGGGAAGAGACGGAATTCGTCCTAGTCCCGATTTAATCGAAAGCGTCCGTGCCATGCCAGCCCCAAAAGATAAACAAGGTATGCGCAGATTAGTCGGGGTTGTGAACTACTTTCGGAAGTACCTGCCAGCTCTGAGCGACAAAACGGCGTTGCTGCGTAGCCTGGTGAAAGAAGCATCGGTGTTTGAGTGGACAACAGCCCATGAGCGCGAATGGGACCAGATCTGCGCAGCGCTCGCTAAGCCTCCGTTGCTGGCTCTTTTTGATGAAAAAAGAAACACTAAGATAACTGCGGACGCCTCAGGAACAGGTATCGGCGCTGCCTTATTGCAAAGAGATGGAGATGACTGGCGCCCAGTGACCTACGCCTCAAGAGCACTGACGCCGAGTGAAGAGCGATACGCCCAGATAGAAAAGGAAACACTGGCAATTGTTTTCGCTTGTGAAAAATTTCATCAGTTCGTGTATGAATGAAGCATTACGATAGAAACTGATCACAGGCCACTACTTGCGATTTCTGAAAAGAACATTGCAGATATGCCACCCAGGCTACAGCCGGTTTTCATCCGTCTTATGAAATATGATTTTTGTTGCAGTTTGTACCTAGTAGAGACCTGTTACTCGCAGACCTGCTGTCTCGTGCCGCACTACCAACTGGCGGAGGCGACCAAGCCGAGGACGTGGACGTCCACACAACGCAAGTAGTCACCAGCATCATAAGCAAGCGACTATGTTGCAGCTGCAGAAGGAAACCCTCGAAGATCCGCTTCTCAGCCGCACCATGAAACAAATGGAAGATGGCATGGTAATAGACGGCGTTCTGAAACCGTATGCGGAAGAGCTATCCGTGGTCAATGGAGTGGTGCTAAAGGGTTGCAAAGTTGTGGTGCCAAAATCAATGCGTGCGGAAATTATTGAGCGAATTCACGAAGGCCACTTGGGTATGAACAAGTGCAAAGCTAGAGCCCGTAGACTGGTTTTCTGGCCGGGAATGAGCAGTGACATTGAGCAACGAGCGCTAACGTGCAGCGTATGTCGAAGGTACGCATACAGTCAACCGAGTGAACCCCTCCTGCTACAGCCAACGCCCGACCGACCGTGGCATCGTGTAGGCATAGACCTATTTACATTCGCTGGAGAACACTACGTATTTGTGTTTGATGCCCATTTGAACTTTCCTGACGTCGAGAAACTCGGAGGTACCACGGCGGCGGAAGTAATCGACAAGATATCTGCTATCTTCTCGCGATACGGCATTCCCAACCAAGTTTGTACCGACAACGGGCCTCAATTTGCATCGCGAGAGTTCGCGTCCTTCGTGCGCCGATATGACTTCGAGCATATCACTTCGAGTCCAGAGTTCCTACGGTCAAATGGCTTAGCTGAAAAGAGGGTACAGATCGTGAAGCGTATTCGAAAGAAAACCCACGAGTCCCTGGGTGATGTATGGCTTGGTCTGTAGGCTTATCGATCTTCTCCCCTTGACAGCGGTCACTCACCCGGAGAACTACTGCAAGGTCGCCGCCTGCACGCCACTCTTCCAGAATACAACGTCGACGGAGGCATACCCGTATGGAAACAGCGACAGTCTTCCCGAGGCAGGCCACTACCACCCTTGGAAGCCGGAAATGTGGTCCGGATCAAACACGGAAGCTGGTCACGCCGAGCGAAAGTGGTACAAGAGACTGCACCACGATCATACGTGGTAAGAACGGAAGACCATGAGCTCCTGAGACGGAACCGACAGCACTTGCTGCGAATGGACAAAAACTTCGACGACAAGGTCAGCCCCGAGGGAAATCCGAACCCCGACGCGAGGCCCCCGACGAAGTTCAGTGATGGACACCGCGGCAACATCTCGCCGGACAACCCACTGGGAAGTCACCAGGTGCAACCAGCTCAGCCAGAGGAAGATTATAACGCCACCATTTATCCAGACACTCCAGGAAGCCCACTGGCTGGCCTGCGCAGGTCAGGACGCCAGCGCAGCGAACCGAAGCGCCTTCACTACGGGCCATTCTTCCATCAAGTAAATGAGTGCAAAAGAAATCAGTGTTTTGAAAGTGTGTGAAGAGAAGATGTAACAGACCGGACTATCTGCTATCAGCATTCGCCCTAGGTGATATTGTCTTCTCCTCCTCTCCACCGTTTCGTGCGCTTTACTTTCATTCCTTTGCTTTCTTTCCTCCTTCCCCGCTGTGAGCGCGGCTACCTAAGCCCAGCAAATAAACGGCCAGGGGTCTTTTCGTCATGGCGAGGCCCAGCCAAGTGTTCATCGTCGTCATGTCTCTGAGTTAAACGTTACAGTGTGTAATGAATAGGCGGAAATATCAATAATCACTTTCACAATAATTTCAATAATGGTGCCATTCCTGCTGTCTACCTCACCTGCACTGCAACGCCGGGAAAAACAAACCGAATCCCGTTGCTAATAGTCTTTTTTTCTGCCTGCTGATAAAAGTGAAATCAGTGCTGCTTTTTAGTCTTTGAAAGTTACTAAAGTGTGATACATCAACAACCTGCAACTAGGTCTCATCTAGCGTTGTACATTTACTATTTCTCCTGCTCTTGCTAATACATTTATCTTAGCACTTGAGTCGAGCGTACTTTCCCATGCAATGAAATACGCCGGAGTTTCTGCAATATTGGAAGCAGGTAGCCCTAATGACCTTAACAACTACCGGCTAATATCCGTGGTACCTCTGTTTTCGATGGCTTGATAAAGCATTACTCAGTCGTATGGTCGATTTCTTGGATAAATATTTGGCCTTGTATATGCATGGTAATCTGCAAATATTGTCGAAATACGATAGTCTTGCGTGTGGGGAGAGTGAACAAAACATTTATTTGATGTTCTGCACAAGAAAATCGGTCAATGGTATTCTGGAGGCGCTGCGTTAGAGTGCCTCGAGCGTGCAGCGGAGGCGAACAAGCGCATCAAGTCACGTCACACGTTAGACGTGAACGCCATCCGGCAGTTTTCTTGGAAATTGAAGTGCGTGGCTCGGAGACGGGTGTGCGTTCCCATCTAAGAGGTGATAAGGTGGAGACGCACGGCAACGGGTAGGTGCCACTATCGTCTCGCATTAGCAAAGCGTTAGAAACACTCCCCGTTCTATGCAAGCGTTGCATGGTCAGCGCAGCGTGATAAGCGCTACTACGGTCCCTAATATTACTTATGTATGTCTTTTCTAGTAAAAGACGCACAAGCAGAATATATACGTGTTGTTATGGTGCCCCAGACATGCGCAATATTTGTTTTTATATGACAATTGCACAAGTACGAACTCTGAATCTTGGGCAACATTGGTGGGCGCTGTGGATAGGGTCGGCCGTTTCAAGTATCCGGTACCGTTAAGAGTGGACAAATGGTCAAATGTATAGACAGACAGACAGGCAGGCAGGCAGACAGACAGACAGACAGACAGACAGACAGAGAGACAAACTAAAATATTTGCGCCGAAGGTCCCCAAAAAAGACTATCGTCTTTAAAAACTGCCAGGCATGCACAGGACGCGCAGCACTGTCATAGCAAAGGCTGGAAAAGCGCCTTTCGGGGCCTCTTTTAACATCATTTGGTTGTGGCAGGTAAATTTGCAGGGTACACACTACGCCATGAATTATTGTGTAGTAGGCAGCCAGTCGCTCTACCACCCTTCGTCATTCTTTCGGAGAAGCTTCATACCAGCTACAAACTTGCAAACATTCTTGTACTATTTTTTGCACTGTGGCTGACGACGATGAAGAATTATGTCAAAAGGGTTTGTAATGCAGGGCATATTACCACACAGTGGGTGTGCGTCACAATTATTAGGTGAACAAGATCAAGATTTTGAAACGAGTTGGAGCATTCGACGACCCACTCGTTGTGCAATTCACTTTAGGTGACGCTTGCTTGTTCTTTTCTGGCCTAAACACTTTTATTAATCATGTAACCACGATTCCTTTCCCGACATCAAGCCCGCACAAAAGCGAGTACGCAAAGCAGCCACTAGCACTGGCGTGGCTCAGTGATAGAATACTGGGCTGGCACGCAGAGGTCCCGGGTTTGAGTCCCACCCCTATTGCAGAAACCAGTGCCACTGGGGACCAGCTTCTAGTGCCGTGCCTGAGTACGAGCCTAGTATTGCTCTGGCTACTGGGACGCTTGTTACTGGTAGGCGCTGGATACACAGCTCAAAACACCTTTACAACGTTTAAACGGAGGTGCGTATTCGCCATAAATAAATATATCAGTAAAAACAAATGAAAGAGATTGCATTGACGAAAAAAAATAAACAAAAATCGTCCGCTTCGAGGGTACAAACTCACCACTTTCCGATTCCCAGCCGAGTACTTTACCCTCAAGATGATGAGGGAAATAACTATTTATCCAATAAACTTGCCGTTCGGCTTCATGTTTACAAGTCACTTAGTCAACATAGGCGCGATATTAGTTTGCAAAAGCAGTTGCGTCTTTATTCGACACTAACGAATGGCTGCCGGACACCGATAGACATGCGCATATTGGCAAGAGCACAAAGTTTTTTTTAATGGTCATCCTAACTTTAAAAAATATCAAATGGACTTTAGGAGCAGACACAGATTGTCGGGTGTTACTGCCGATTCTTTTTTTCTTTCATAGCCGTTTCTCGCTCTGACTTCTGGTCAACATTACTGCGGTTTTATGAGAACTAGTTTGAAGCATATGTGCATACATGATGGAAAATTGAGTTTGGTGTTCTCGCGCAAGCGACGTCATGGTAGTATGGCCATAACGTTGCTTATAACGATACAACTGAATAACCACCCAAGAAAATTTTCATGCGATCCACTGAAAAACTATGCCAGCGTATCAGATTACTAAGGCATACCAAATTACCAAATGAAAAGTGAGCGTTAATACATTCTAGTCAGAGTATATGGTGCCGGCTACTGCACCCGGCCGCTTTCGGTGGCGGCCTGCGTTGCTTAAAGCGCGACGTATCGATCGCGGTCGCTCCTTATACAGGCACAGCAAGCGAGTAAGAATGGTTGAGTTAGGTTTAAGAATGTCTAAGCTATATGTTACAGTAATTATCATGCTTTATAATTGTGTGTACTCAAATCTAGGAGCGTTGGTAATATGTACACTCATGTGGCCAGAATAATAGTCCTAATGTTCGTTGGGAAGGGGTACTGGGTAAGACAGCTTTTAAAGCTGCTGAGTTGCGATGCTGAAGTTTCCGAGTTTGAGCTTTGGAATATTTCCAACGTTTACGTGGAGTAAGTAGAAAGACAAGCATATACCAGGCATGCATATTCGGTGTGGCGATCTCTATTGACAGCTGTTTTTCTCGCCTCCAATTGGAAAGCTTGTCAAGTGTCGGGAAAGGTCATTTACGTCTCGCTAAATTTGTTGCGTAAACACTTTGCTGCTTGTGTTAGGAGTGGCGACTAGCTTTTGGATTATAAACACTTCAACACAGAATTATTACAAAAATACATCACTCACGCGAATTTTGCACATATGCAATATGTGGGAGACATGCACAAAAGTGCAATAATTGCTGCAATGCATGCGCATCGCAAGAATTAACGTGGTTATAGACATGCGTGAGTTATTAAAGTAAAGCGTGCTAAAAGCAAAATCTTCAGCGTTGGCCGTTTTAAATTATTAACACTTTTTTTCTTTATTCTAAACGAAAACAATAAAAATCCCCTTGATATGACATATCACAGATCATGATCATGACGTGTGATATGCGAAATTGTGAGGCATGCTTGGGATCTGTTAGGGTAAGCATCTATCCGTGCCGTGAAACTAAGCGTTTTATATTCAACAATACTGGAACATACCTCTGCACAAGCTTGAAAAACGTGAAAGCTGCACTGGCAGAAATAGCGCGTGCTCAAGTATACACCAGCAACCTCCAGTGAAAATTTCAGCGCATGCAGCGTTTTCCAGTGTGCACCAGAGTCCAGCAGTCAAGTCAGCGCCCCTATCAGTGCGAACCGGTGATTTCCCAGCGCGCCCATTGTAGTGCAGTAAATACCAGCATGTAGAATTGTTTCCAGCGTGTACCAAGGCCAAAAAACGGACTGGCGTCACGCTAGGGGCGCTGTTATTTTGTAATAGGGACTATTTTCTTGGTGCTTCATATTTGCCAAGTTTTTTCTTACTTCACGCGAAAGCGGTTACAGACACTGGCGGCGGCAGCATACAACTACAGGGCCGCACGCAATTCTTGTCGTAATCCCATAACAGCTCTCGCTAATTTTATGTTATATTAACGCGCAAGACTGAATAACGAAACACAGGTGAACAGATGTAGTAAGTAGTAACACTTCATTAAACAAACTACAGTGTAGCAGAGTACGTGGTTGTTTCTTATCCCTGTTTAAGTCTTACTTTAGTGACAGACAACACTGTGTATACGCGAATGGTCGCGTGTCATCCTTTCTGATAAACAACTTAGCGTGCCCTCCAAAAGTGTTTTAGGGACATATTATCTTCAATATTTACATTGCAAATATTTTTAATAATGCTGAATTTATTATATACGCATATGACAGCACTGTCATATTATCTTGTAGCGACGTGCGCGACTTGACAACAGATTGTAATGAATTGATAGAAAAATTATTTACCTGCTCTCAGCTAAATAAATTCCGGTTCAACGCGAGCACAGTTAAGGTAATTATTTTTTGCTTCAAGAATAAACAGTTTCAGATGCATATTACTTTTGCATTGAAAGGTAAAAAATACCGAAATATTCAACACCCACAATGTTTTGGGCGCCACTTTCATTGACAGCTCACTTGGGACATGCACGCTAATTACCTCTGTGACAAGCTATTTTCAGTGACAAGTGTCATATAACAACATCGTAATTTACTGCCTACAAAGACCAAACTACAAAGTTTCAGTACTATATTTCATGTCCACTTAAAATATTGCAACCTTGGTATGATGCACAGCAACTATAACTAACATACGTAGCGTTGTCACGCTACACAAGAAGACTACTCGCCTCATCGGCAAGACAAACTACTATTCTAGCACCCGAGAAATGTTTTCTAAATAGAGTGGTATTAGAATATAGTATCTTCAGATACTGAGGCATCGTCAGCCAAGTAAATCACGACACACTACAAAGATCAATCGTTATATAACATATCATCTACTTTAAATAAATATGAAAATGTTCACACGTTCAGTAACAATACTTGCACTTTCATTTGGCGTATTCGCGATGTCACATATTGTAGCATTTTGTGTAATTTATTGCGTGTAACCTTTGTTGTTTCTTTCAACAATTATTCTGCTGACACAAATTTTTGCTGCGTTATTTGGCCAGTGTTTGGTTTTGTTCGAAATAGCATTATGAAGCTATTGTTATGTGTGAATAATATATATGTTTATTACTCATGCTATGATGGTTTTTATTGTATGTTCTATTTTCTATTTTTCCAGCGTTTTATGAGCATATATATAGTTTCAGTTTTTCTTACAGCAGTTGCCAAGCGGCGAATACGTGTGAACCGCTCATATGTACTTGCGAGAAAATATTTTGTTGAACTTGTTGGTTTCCCGTCATGCGCCGGATTAGTTGTTACTACCCTGTATAGATTGGTCGTTGGGCCCCGTCAACCTAGTTCTGTAGCATTTAACCAGACGTAATCGTCCAGTATGTATATACTAGGAACTGAATTGTATTAAGTATTTTCGGTGATTTTTCTGTGACAACTTATGCGAAAAGGGAAGAAAGCCACAGTGATCCCAGTTTCAATTAACCGTTGTGGATACCGACACGTTTGAACCATCGGAAGATTTCCCAATAGGAATAAAAGCGCTGACCTGGGACCATGTTGTCAGTAAGGTAAAAAACCGGTTTTTACAAGTGCGACAAATACACAACGCTCGTGTAGGCTACGAAGGTCTCACTACTTTTTCCCGATTTGAACGGACACCGCCAGGCTTCTGTTAATAAACCAATGCTACCACCACCCCCACCACTACCCAATGCATCAATAATTGGGACTTGAAAATACCCAGAGGCTTTGAGAGTGAGTGCAGATCTCGTGTGGCCCTTCTGCAAGTACGGCGTACTCATAAAGGGCCCGTACAGAGAGCACCGCAATGTACTAAATCACCCACACGTGATTGCCACAATGAAAACCTATAAGTCCTCGCTCTGTTCAAGTGTTCCATGACCATGATGCGCATTCTCTTTAACAAAATGACAACTCCTTCAGCTCAATGCACAGTGCAAGTTGCAAATTTTCATGCCATTTCTTGCAATCCTTTAGACAGCAGAAGCTGCATATGGCTAGAATAAACGAAAATTTGTTCGGCAGCGACGTCATAAGCGGTCTCTATTAGACACACTATCAGTTACGCCGTTCTCAGCGTCGTACCAAAGCACGCACGCCATTGGCTGCGTTGTGGGTGACGTCTTCCATCCCGTCGTAGCCAGGGCGCCGAGCACGTTGCCATCAGTTTTAACAGAAGCCGACCACATGGGTAAGCCTAAAGCAAAATGAAGGGGCTTTAGGTTAGTCATGAACAGCTCTAGAAGAGCGCTAATAGTAGAACCATGTAAAACTCGCATTCACCGGACCGGTGGTGCACTGTTGGTACAAAAAATTTGCGAGTCCCATTTCAAGAGGGAATCGGTGATATAGGAAGTGCGAATGAGGAAGTTTGATTTGTCACTTTAAAAGCAGCACAACGTTACAATCGAGGCAGACGTAATTTATGTCATTCGTGACTTCAATGTGGTGATTATCATGTTTGGACGTGTAATTTACCTTCATCGTTCGTTCGCGTCTTGTAATACCGAATTTGGTATAGGTGGAGCTAGTGTAAGAGCCGCAAGCGCATCATGAGCGTGGCATGTCGTCACGTTCTTCTATGACCCGCATCTGGGGCCAAATTCACAAAGCCTTTTCTAGGCTACGCATTTTCTTAGCCAATAATTCTTTTATCTGAAAAGGGTTACTATAGCGCTGGTACAAATTTAACTTATTCGGCACTTAAGAGGGCAAGGAGGACACGCGATAGCCGATGAAACAAGGAAAGACAAAAGTGTGTGCCAATATTATCAAGGTAATACATAAAGCGTCAAGCATCGAGAATATATGATGATAGCCAATGATTTGCTGCATCTCAACTTCAGTTTCACGTCCGCCTGGTACAGCGCTTACGGGAAGCCGCGTACGTCGTGGTATATGTTTTG